GCGCCATAGACCTCCATTATTTGAATGTCAGCAGACAGCAAGAAGCCTCCCAGATCTCCAGATGCATTTGAGATATCAAAAAAGTACTCCAGGGTGTTGTTCAGCATGGGGGTGAGTAGAAAATGAAGGCTAATCATGTTTTGGGTGTACTATTCCTTTAAGGATTTTAAAATAAAATACATTCATATTATAAGGACTGTTATTGGGTTATATTAACATAAGAATTTCCAATTTGTATCCAGTTATAGATGTAATGGATGAAAAAGAAATTAAAATGAATTTTTTCCACCTTTTTGATCTTTATAATTTATCCGTTCAAGTGCTTTGAGTAACTTTTTTATTAGTTTTGGATCCTTTAAAGTAGCGACAATTTGGCTCAAAGTCGCCGATTCTTGGTTTATTTAGAGGACAAGTATTTTGTTTGAAGTAACACTAAAGCAAAAATATCTAAATTTTAATATAAAAATGAAAATATGCATCATTTGGAGGCCTATGGAGGCTAAATGCCGCAGAAAAGTTTCAGGGAAACATCAAGATGTCCTTAAAGTCATTTAGAAACTAAAATAAAGATGTTTTAATGGCCAAACCAGCTGAAGATTAAAGCCATGTTCCTGTGGAAGGAATAAAGTTTGTCTTTCTGCAGCAGCTGCTCCATATCTGGAGTCTTAAGATCATTTAGCTTCATGTTTGCTTTTGTTGCTCTCCAGCTTTAATGCAGCCCTGAACTGAAAGTCATGAACATCATTCTAGCTCATTTGGATTGTGACTTATGTGGTTTAAGCTCCAATGCTGAGAAACGGGAGCCGTTTATTTAAGGCTGCAGGTCAAACATCTCCACTATCAGAAACAGAAGCTGCTGCTTCCAGATGACATGTCAGGTAAAGCATAAAAGAGAGTAATGCAGTGGTGGCTGGTAAATAGAGGGCGCCGTCTCAACCACCCAACAACCCTCATTAAAACATTAACAAAATATATATATATATATATTTACATCATGAGCTGTGAACTTTTAAACCTTGGGGTTTCGTCGAATAATGTGAGCTGTAACTGAGTGCAACAATTGAAAAAAAAATGCACATTGTAAGCCTGGTTTTAGGCGATCCAACACTGACTGAAATTAGTCTATCAGCCAAAAACAAATATTGACTTGCATTTAAAATCTCCAGTAAAAGCATGTTGATAGAAACGTCTGTTTTAAGTTTATAAATGGGTCAGTTGTTGTCAGACTATTGTTGATTCTTTAACTTCAAATAGTTTTAACATTCCTGCAACAAAATGAGAAAGAAAATGATGTTCACTCTGTACTGATTTCCTCAATCTCTGTATTAGTTAATGCATTTTGCAATGGTAGAAAAATAAAAAAATATTATTGGGGCCTCTCCATTAAATTGATGGAGGCTGATGTTCACAGCGGGCCTGAGTTCTGTCCTTGGCGAT